GCGATGCAGTGATGCATCTGACTTTGTGCAGCGATGCAGTGATACATCTGACTTTGTGCAGTGATGCAGTAATGCATATGACTTTCTGACTTTGCCATGCTTATATACTTTGTCACTTTTTTCCTCACATTACGTGATGCATGTGACTTTCTACAGCGCGAATAAATGCTTTATTTTTTTTTATCACATTTCAGAATTCATCTAAGTCACATTAATACGACCACACGGCAATAATGTTGATAAACAATTATGTGATGAACTGAAGGAGTAAAGTGTAATTTACCGAATATAAAAAGAAGCAAAAAATGCAAAGAGAAGAAAATGGGATGACTGTGAAGTTTATTAAGTGAAAATAAGATAAAATGTAAACTGTTTATGAAGAATATTACTTTAAAACAAAGAAAATTTAAGCATTTAATTTCATTTATAATTTTTTGAAAACACCAATTTGTACTGAAATCGTCAATTTGAAGTGACTACTTACTGTATTAAAAAAGTAAGCATGTCAGTTGGCATACGCATGACAACTCACTGCATGTTGTTTTATTTGACAACTCACTGCTCCAATATGAAGGGATTGCATTGTCATCCTCTGGCTTACAATTATGATTTTATCTGACAACCACGTCCGTGACTACATCACAGGTACACAAAGTCACGGGTACTCAAGATTGCATGAAATGAAAAGCTAAAAAATAATATCACGGGTATCACTTCTTCCATAGTGCCCCAGCATGCATTATCGTCACTAGATCATCTCTAGTTAACCCTCAGTATGATGTCTATAAATAGCGACACCCCCAGTATGATGTTTGTTCAAGCCATAACAATAGTAATATGTCTACAATTACTATTATTATTTGTTTGTTTATTTTATGAACAATGTCTTTAAGAGGTGCAGGAAGTTCACGCCAGTAAAGAAATCCGAAAGTGTGGCTGCTACCTCCATTTACTTATGACTACAAGAGCGAAAAGTATTCGAGTCCGAAGGATTATTATGCTGGTATCCGAGCTGAATGGGCGTTCAGGGTAACGGAGCAAGAAAGATTGTTTAATGATCTACGTAACTTTGGGGCACCAATACCTCATCGTCGTTCATTGACCATGGCTAAACGAAATGTGAGTGACTATGAAAAAGCAGTTAGCAGAATTAAGAAGGAGAACAACAGAATGTTGATGCGGAGATGTCGACATTTCATGCTTCAGCTAGGCACCGAAATGGCAGAAGCAAGCAACAGAGATTTGACAGTGATTGAGCGAAATAATGTCTTAAACAATGACAAATATCTCTCTGACTACTACATGTCATATGAGGAATGAGAAATCAAACACCTTTATCTTTCATATATATTTGTATGTTGTCTCATATCTTTGTTACTAGAGTGTAAGACAATGTTGTTGTTCATCTAACGTACGGATGTATTTCAAGTATTTGTTTTATGAACCTGAAATTTATGAAATAACTACATTTATAACTGCACATTTATTAGTTCATGACTTTCTTTATTGAATTACAATGAGTTAATGAATGTTTTGGATTAACAAATGGATTAATGTATGTTGAATTATGTGAATACTTAAAACACATAAAACAGAAAGAGTCGGGAAAGAATTTCAATCTCCATCGGGAAAGAAGAAAGAGTCGCCTTCCAATTCCTGGAAGTCCAGTCAAAATGATGACTCTAGTAAGGAACGGGGGGTTGACAGATAACTAAACTTGGGGGGCTGGACAAACAAGCTCAAAGCCAAGTGGTTGGTCCAATTGGGGAACTAAATAAAGTTCATACAAACGAACAACCGCCTTGAACAACACATAAAACAGAACAGGTAGCTCGGTGAAAAGCTTCTCCTAACTGGGGCTCGTGAAATAGGGATCCTGTATGTAAAGAATTTCAATCTCCATCGGGAAAGAAGAAAGAGTCGCCTTCCAATTTCTAGAAGTCCAGTCAAAATGATGACTCTAGTAAGGAATTTAAAACCCAATTGATTTTACTTGATTTGCTTGTCAAAATCACTATTTACTATTAATTATACACAAACAAATTTACCTCAACACCAATTTGATGTATGTGGGATTCTCAATTCAGAAAGTGACATGGCAACAGTGAATTCACTGATTTACCTTACAAGGAGCATGCCCTTATTTTGTCAGTATATGCAGACAGATTGTCAAGTCATGTGACTTGGTGCACAGACTTTGGTTTTCTCGATTTTTTGCTCGATTTTTTGCTTACAATGACAACTCATTTCTTATTAATATATGTGCGATTCTCAATTCAGAAAGTCACATGGCAACAGTGAATTCACTGATTTACCTTACAGTGAGCATGCCTTACTTTGTCGGTATATGCAGATGGATTGTCAAGTCACGTGACTTAGTACACAATATTTCCTTTTCTCTGTTTTTTCATTCTACTGACAACTCATACCTTGTTCGTATATGTGGGATTGTCATGCAGGGCCATCTTTCTAAAGCTGTTCATAACCAACTATATAAACGACTAAAGGTGAAGACACAACCTTACAACTCATTTCGCCCTACGAAATTATCATTCATTTGTTTAAAAAAATTAGCATGGCTACACGATTCATGGAAGGGAGTGGGAATCGCAGAGGAGGTAGGAACTTGCAAAGGGGTGACAGTTCACGACAAGGAGGGGGAATGGGAAGTTGCGATGCTGAAGATGAAACACCATTTACTTTGTTAGATGCCTCTTGTGCTTATCATGATAGGTTTGGGAAGCGACATTTTGTCATGCCCAAGTACTATCGAGATCCATGTGGTTTTGTGGAGGATCCATCTGATAATCAAACAGGATTGGTTATAAACGCTAGATTCTGAAGTGGCCCACACTATTTATAGAGCGATGTGCAAATGGAAAATAATATGTCGGGAAAATCGACTGAAGGTGCCAAAAGCACGTTCTGTTTGAGAATCGCAAAAGGAAGATCCTGATAATGTTGATGACGACTATGTCCGAAAGACCACAAGTGAGTTCTCAAATGGGCCGTAGGTTAGCCCGCGATATGCACTATACTAGTTAGAAAAATGCCAGCAGAACAAAACAGAACCAACTGATGCGAGCTATCAAGGTATCATGAGGATCTCAGCTTGTCTCTGACGCTGAGCTTTCGGATTGTTCGGACTCTGAGCCACCTGTCGATTTAAGCGCGAATTAGGTGTTAATGTCTACACTTCGGCAATATTAGGTCATGCATTAATATGTAATGTCTGTGTTAGAGTAAGTGTTTCCGTAATGAGTTTGTCAGATTGTCTGGCTAATATTTGTCTGTCTAACTGTTATGTTTATGTATGTATTGTGTGTTCAGTTCATGGTGTCCACAATGTATTGTTGTCCGAGACTTATGTCTGTACTACTTATGTATTTTTGTGGGAGACTTATGTGTTTTTTCCTCAAGGTTTTATGAATTAAATTATCACCTTCTAACCTAAAACAAAGACAACAGAAAAAAAAAATGATTTAAATGAAAACAGCTTTAGTAAAGCCAAAACAAATTTCTGAATAACACATTCTAACCCAAAACAAAGACAAGAGAAAAAAATAAAAAATAAAAAAATTTACATGAAAACGGCTTTAGTAAAGCGAAAGAAATTTATGAATTACATTATCACCTTCTAACCCAAAACAAAGACAACAGAAAAAAAATGTATATTATTTACATGAAAACGGCTTTAGTAAAGCCAAAACAAATTTCTGAATAACACATTCTAACCCAAAACAAAGATAAGAGAAAAAAATAAAAAATAAAAAAATTTATACGAAAATGGCTTTAGTAAAGCGAAAAGAAATTTATGAATTACATTATCACCTTCTAACCCAAAACAAAGACAAAAGAAAAAATATATATATTTAAATGAAAACGGCTTTATTAAAGCCCAAACAAATTACTGAATAACACCTTCTAACCCAAAACAAAGAAAAAAAAAATAAAAATAAAAAATTTACATCAAAACGGCTTTACTAAAGCTCAAAAAATTTATGAATTACATTATTACCTTCTAACCCAAAACAAACACAAGGAAAAATAAAATAAATTTACTTTAGTCAAACAAAAAAAAAATGCTGAATTACACATTCTAATCCAAAATAAAGACAAGAGAAAAGAAAAAAAAATTAACATGAGAACGGTTTTAGTAAAACAATTTTAACCCAAAAAATTATTCTGAAATACATTATCACCAAAACAATGACAACGGAAACAAACAAAAAAAAAAATTTCTTCTTTACAGTTCAGTTAAATTGAAACTAAAAAAAAAAAATTACCCTAAAAGCGTGGTTCATAACAACAATTATAGGAGAAAAATTTTTTGGCAAAAAAGCGTGGTTTGAAAGTGGGTGGTTAATTGTGTTCATAAAACGTCGTTTGGAACAGCGAGTTCAGAAGAAAAATGATTTTTGTTAAACTCGTGGTTACAAAGAGCGAGTTCACAGCGTCGTTTGGAATATGATTTTTTTTGCTTTTCATAAAACGTCGTTTGGAACAGTGAGTTCATAAGAAAAATGATTTTTGTTAAACTCGTGGTTACAAACAGCGAGTTCAGAAAGGTCTCGTGGTTCTCAACAGCGAATTAAGAACAAAATGTTTTTTGGATAAAATCGCTGTTTCTAACAGCGAGTTCAAAAGCAAAAAAAATTAAGAATGTTTTTGGATAAAATCGCTGTTTGTAACAGCGAGTTCAAAAGCAAAAAAAATTAATTAAAATCGCGTTTTGTAACCACGATTTGTTAATCGAAAGCACTTTTTGTAACCACGAATTTAAGTTTTGCCCACTTCCACGCGGGGTAGGCGGAAAAATGTTGAAATCGCGATTGTGAACCGCGAGTTAGCTCATTCTGAGAAATCTTTGAAAACTAGATTTAGTTTGGGAATTGATTTACTATTTTATCTTATTTAAGAAAATGTCCCTAGAAATTAAGCTTAATATGGGAAAAGCCTCACTAAAATAATAAAATAATAATAATAATAATAAATCTCTCAGTCAACGTCCCAAACGGGTTAATTAACAGTGAAAGCCCTCAACGTCGCCCTTAATTCTAACAATGTCCCTCGACTCGGAGTCACCGTCACCGTCACCGTCGACGGGCAGAGACTGGTTCTTCCCATCGCCGTCGTTCATCCACTCCTCTCACCACCACCTCCCCAGAACCCCCACCCGGCGCTTCTCCACATACCCCAGGGCTCGAAGACCCTACGACTCCGACCCCAAACACTCCTCCTTTCAGACCCTATCACCTCCAACTGACCCCAAGTATGCCGGAATCCGCCGTCGCGTCGACTTCGCTCGCCGGACCCAGAGGTCCGACCATCGCCATGCCGTTTCGCCTTCCAATCCACAGAAATTCGAAGTCACATCATCCCTCGGGAACAAGTCTTCCGGCATCGGCGCTTTCCAGCTCAACAAGGTTCGCTGGCGGATGGCTTTTTTACTGCCCGTGAGCTCTCTCTCTCTCTCTCTCTCTAACATATACTAGAGTTCGTATATGTTCAAATAAATGTATATAAATAAATGAATATATTGAAGTAATTTAGATGGAAAACACGTGCCATACGCGAAAAAAAAAAAAAAAAAACTAATAAATCATAACTAAAGAAGAAAATGACATAATTAGACGAACTTATGGTATACCGATTTAAAAAGGGTGTATATTAAAATTTTCCAATTTAGATACTCTCCATTAAATAGGTCTGTAATTAGTATATCAATTTTAAATTTTAATTTTTTCCCCCTCTGTTATTGTTTCAATTATGAAATTATTTTCAAATTTCAACTATTATTTATATTAATTTTGTGTTTGGTTGCAGATTTTGATAACTGCATTTTCGTCTCTACTACACAAGATTTTTTCTTATCAAAATCAGATCATTGATCTACAGGTAACAAATTATTAGCTTAATGAAGAATAATATATACAAAGTTCCAAATTTCTCTGTATTTGTGTTTGTGTTGGAAAAATTAAACATGTTTGATTTTTGACATTGTGTGGCTGTCAAAGTTTGCAACTAGTTGTGGCTAGCTCTGAAATTTTGAAGCATAAAGTGTGCCCTCAATGTGTTTGATAAGTAAATTGCTGAGTTTTATACACTACTTGGTTTGTGAATGCAAGATGTGTGTCTTATCTATGAATGCATGGATATACCCTTGTGCTAGTAAGTAGTTGTCAGAGTGTATATGATGAACATTTAAAATCAATGGTTGGTGATATTAAGCTATACCATTAATTTGTCATGTATAAGTCAAAACTCAATCAAAACAATAAATTAATTCAAGGGTTTTGTTGTGTGTATTAAAATGTTGGGCATTTGGATATCATACTTCTTTCTGTTTTTGCATTATCATGTTTCAGCTAGCAGAGAGTGGAAGTTCACGGAATTTTCAGTTCTTTTATATCTCTCGCCAGAATGAGTGATGATTTGAGGGAATATTTGAATTTTAGAAATTAAGGAACCTTATCCGATATTTCAAATATAATGTGGCACTCCAACAGCCATATTTTGGCATCAAGTATCAACTCTACCCGGTGTGCCAAAAGTTGATGTGGCTTTTGGCATCACCCTTTCATGCCAATTTTGATATGAAGACCCCTTGATGCCTTTTTATTTATTTTTTCCCCTCATTTTCTTTTGTCTTTAATTAAAGCATCCAAAGAGTTTAAATTTTAAAAATAATATAATAATAGAATTGACATATTAGGTGGAGAGCTTTCATGTCAAATTGACATAGCCTTCAAAAAGATTTGACATACTAAGGGTAAGTTTGGCATAACACAAAAAAGTCAAAAAGTCACTATCCTATTTAAGTCACATCATCTTATTTAAATCACATCACCTCTCTACCACATCACTTCAAACCCAACCCATATTTTATAAAAAGTCAAAAAGTGCACTTATTTAGATCATCCCAAACAACCCCTAAATTTTGAAGGTTTGGGCTGAGATGCTCTAAGAAATATATGCATTTTCTTACAAGGACTATAATAAGTCAACTTTAAGCAAAGCCCAAAACTTACAAATCCCAAAACATTCTGGTAAATACAAATCCTGCTTCCCTATTTTCGGACTTCGGAAAGAGCAAGTAGAATAGAAGTGGGTCACTTTGAGGGAACCCAAGCCTCCAATAACACACTGTTAGAATTTGGATCAAAAGCTACCTTCTCTATTGATGATATCCTCCTATTGTATACATAATTTCAAACAACTAATAGATAAGGACCCGCTAACATTCCAATGCTAGCAAATTAGACTCAACTAACAACATGACTAGTGTGGGACTTGAATTACATAACAACCCATAAAAATAGAACAACGAAAAAGCTGATAATTTGGAAAGTCTTCAATGTAGCAAATTATAAGGCACGTGTATCACCCCTTTCCCCTTAAATTCGCCATTGTTTTTAAGAGCATGTTCTAGGTTATTGGTGGGCCACTTATACCAACACTTCCACCACATTTTACATCCATAATGACATCTCCATCATCTTCCTCAAAGCATTCTAATAGGAAAAGCTTTTTATAATGTCCAGGGCTGAATTTCTCATTATAATTATAGCATAACCCTTTTTTTCACTATTCTTGTAACTCTATTGTGAACAATCTTTCAATGGCAGTAATGGTCGTCGTGGATTTGTCCCCTTGGTCATTGGGCACCATTGCTCTAAGTAGGTATACATTTCTTGCTTCATATAATCGATCCAAGTCAATTGCAGTCAACAAAGACGGACCCCCAACTAGAACATCAGCTCTGATGTTGTCCTTCACCCACTGAACAAAACAACTCACTTGCCGATCTTGGGGTAGATGATCCACCTTAGCGAGTAGCTTTTAAAGCTACATGTAGTCTTTCACCAAGCTAATTTGTTGAAGCTGGTTGAGTTTGTCGAAACTGTCATAGAATTTGAGTTGGACCTATAGAAATAGAACTCTTAGCAAAGAAACAGAATTCTATGGGAAATAGTCCACACAATCATTGAGGGACTAATCTGTTTATATAATAATACTTGAGTATACAATTCACAATGAAATATATCTAAATATGGTAACTTTGTACAGAGAAGCAAAGAATGATAAAATATCTACATGTAGAAGGAATTCTTCAATTATGGAGAAACTCTTTGCTGAATTATTGCTGCACTATTCCTCTGACTTTATTGTTTCCATTTGTGCAATTGCATGTTCCACAGTATATACCATGCTCTTGCTCTTGATTAAGTTCATTAGGACCATAAAAGAGAGTGCAACCTTATTTGAAAACTTTGTATGATATAAGGGCCATATCTTGCATAATCAATTGGTGCTATAGTTGCACATCTGCTTCCTAATGGAAGGATGCCAAAGTCACTTGTGGATTTGAAAAAATTCTTCAGCCCAACATAACTAGCTGCTAGTAGGGTCTTTAACACCATTAAAATGAGGAAAATCCAACCTCACTAGTTTAGGGGCATAGGATTAGAAGAATCTTTGTTGCTTCCTTGTCTTCCATATCCTTTGTTCTTTTTTGAGCTTGAGAGCTCACTCTCGTCATATGCATGTTGTTAGTTGAGTCTTATACATTAGTATTGGAATGTTAGTGGGTCCTTAGCTATTAGTTGTTTGAGCTGATGTATAAATAGGAGGTATCATCAATAAATAAGGTACTTTTGATCCAAATTCTGACTGTGTTAGTAGAGGCTTGGTTCCCCTTGAAGTGACCCTTCTATTCTACTTGCTTTGTCCAAAGTCCAAAAATATGAAAGAAGGATTCTTATGTACCAAAGTGGTATCAGAGCCAGCCACGATGTCAAGTATAGAATCGGACGCAATCTATGTGAGTATGGGATCAGATCTAGGAAGCACGGATACGGGATACGGGTATGATATGATACAGATACGGCGATACGATAAAATTTGAAAAACTAGGATACGGGTACGGTGGGGATACGTTCATAAAAAATATTGGTTGTGTTTGGTAGAGTCTTAGAATTATGATTTGAGAATAGAGTTGTAATTTGAGTTTGTGAGTTTTGAAATTATGATTTGAGTGTGGAAAAATTATTTGGTTATGAGTTTTGAAAAGAGTGTGAATTGAGTGATGTAACATATGATATTGAAAAGTGAGTGTTTTGAAAAGTAGGTGTGAAATTAATTTTCTAAAGCTGTAACCAAACAACACACTCAAATTAAAGGGTAGAATTAAAGTTCAAAAACTCTGCCAAACAGAGCCATTATTTTTACAATTTTTAGTAATGTAGCATACAAAAGAAATTAATTTATGGTGTTTGAAATCCTTAAATATGTATGAACAAATAAAGTGACATATATTTATTTTAATTATAACTTTTTAGGACATTTTTTATATTTTTTGCATGCCAAATAGGTTCAACTTTTTTCATAACCAAACACATTTTCAACTTATTTTAATTTAATTCTTTTAAACTAATAATCAAAAATTTTATAAATATAAAAGCTAATATATATATATATATATATGTGATATCAAATGGGCCAAAAGGTTACAGACAGAGACAGTATACCAATAAAAAAAATGTATATCAAATGGGGCCAAAAAACAAGTTGCATTACAATCTAAGTCCACAGAGGTCGACAGGGAGAGCGAGAGATAGAGGGAGAGGGAGAGAGAGTCAGATCAAGCGAGATCTGTCCATCCAGACCAGAGAGATCGAGCGAGAGCGAGAGCGAGAGGGAGAGGGAGAAAGAGAGAGAGTGAGATCGAGCAAGAGGGAGAGAGAGAGGGACAAACCTGATCGATCGATGAGCTGCTAGTTGGTTGATAGAGACGACGACGACGACGACGACTCCTCTCCTCCTTTGCTGCTGCTATTGCGATTAGGTAGGGTTTGGTTGATTTGTTTTTTTGATTTTATTTTACCTTACTTTGGTTATTTTATAGTTTGACTCCCATTATAAGTTTTTAAAATTATTTTTTTGCCCCGCCGTATCCCGACCATATCCTTGAAGTATCCTCGCGTATCCTAAACGTATCCAAAATTTAAAAAAAAATTTAAAAAATAGGATACTTTTTTGCCGTATCTGATACGTATCCCGCCGTATCAGGTGCGTATCCATATCTGATACATATCCGATACGCGTACGGGGGCCATTTTGGAGTATCCGTGCTTCATAGGATCAGATAGGTTGCAGCTTTGTGGTTCGAGGAATAGAGAGGGCAACCTATAGGTTGGATTAGAACGTCTTAGTATTGTGTATGGACATAGCACTATCGTGTTGAATACTAATAATTGAGTGAAGTTGCCAAAATGAAAAGGGTTACCATCAGGTCAACATTGATAGAGTGGGCTGCCGTGGACTTCGGCTGCAGAGTGCCACATATCGCCAGTAGAACTTCTAAATTTGCACAACAGTTTAACAAGGATTCCATAACAAAATTTTTAGGTTAAATGAACAATTGATTCAATCAAATGGTTGGTAACATTTCTGTGTATTTTGTCGACCATGTTTGTGGACTAGTATTAGTTGTCAATTGTTTCACATAGGTCTATATTGGACTTGTTAACTCGTAAATCCTTTCTAGATATAATGCGGATTTTTCTTGCAGGATCACATTTCCAAGCTCAATGTTAGATTACGGGCTTGCACTTTGGTGGATTCTGTGGATATTATCAATTCAATACCACAGGAGAGTGATCATCTTCCTAACAAAAGCTTGAAAATTTCTGTTCTAATTGCCTTACTTACAATTTTATCTATCCCTTTTCTTTTCTTCAAGTATGTTGAGCATGTCTCAAAATCAAGAAGATCGTCATCAGACAACATTGCAGAAGAAGTGTCTTTAAACAAGCAGTTAGCATATAGGGTAGATGTGTTTTTATCAGTCCACCCATACGCTAAGCCTTTGGCATTGTTAATAGCAACCCTACTACTAATTTGTCTTGGTGGGCTGGCACTCTTTGGTGTGACAGATGATAGCTTAGCCGACAGCCTTTGGTTATCTTGGACGTATGTAGCAGACTCAGGCAATCACACTAATTCTGAAGGTGTTGGTCCAAGGCTAGTTTCAGTATCCATTAGCTTTGGTGGGATGCTTATATTTGCTATGATGCTTGGACTTGTCTCTGATGCAATTTCCGAGAAGCTTGACTCATTGAGGAAAGGAAGAAGTGAGGTGGTTGAGCAAAACCATACTCTAATTCTTGGTTGGAGTGATAAATTGGTAAGGTTTCGATTCACAGCTTATTCATTTGTGACAGATCCAGCAGAAGTTCAGCGAGAATCATTGTAAATTTTGCATAAATGCATGCAGACTTTGCCTGAAAAATGTAGTATGCTCATCCATTGAAAATACTATTATGAACTCAGGGATCACTATTAAATCAACTTGCCATAGCCAATGAAAGTTTGGGCGGAGGGATTGTTGTAGTGATGGCTGAGCGAGACAAAGAAGAGATGGAAACTGACATTGCTAAAATGGAGTTTGATTTCAGAGGAACATCCGTCATATCCAGAAGTGGAAGCCCTCTGATTTTAGCTGACCTAAAAAAGGTGTGATATTTGTTATTATTCTCTTGAGTGAATTTATAATTTTTCATGAATCCAATTGTCTTTCTTGAATGCTTGATTTTTAATCAAGAAACTAAACCTTCTGAATAAAATACAACTTAGGATTATCCCAAAATAAAATAAATGATGTACAACTTGGGAAGAATGGAACTTTTGTGGTAAAGACCTGAGACAGATTGATCATTTGATTAAACTAAAAAAAATACTAGTTCTGTCAACTTAGGAACGTACTCAGAGGCCTGCAGTGTATTTATATTTGTGGTGAGATGCTTTATACTCCTATTGGAGCAATGTGGGATGAGAGCTCAATGAGCAACCACCAACATATACTATGTATGTGTTGAGATGTTTTGTTTATCTTTGTCTTACCCCTGTGGGACAAAGCCAAGCAATGCATGTGATTACCCAAGGCACCCAACACCCTTTGTATTGTTTCTTGATTACTAGTTAGTGTTTTCTAAGTGGATCAAATGCAATGTACTCAACCAGTGTACAATACTAACAACAATGAAAGTGCTAAGTTACAAGTGATTATGAAAATACAATAAGATTTGGGAAGCTACTCACAATACCAACAACAATGGAAAGTGTTAAGCTACAATCTACTAATATTAAATTGGGGAATAAAAGTTGCAAGACTAATTGGAATTTTGGAATTTCATCAAACATAACACAGAGATTATTTGCTTTAGATTGGTATATGTCCTTTTAATTCTACGTTCTTATTTACATTGTTATGTTGTGATTTTTATATTACTATCTATGTTTTATTTTTTTATTTTAATTAGAAATAAAGAAAAAAAATTAGAAAAACTATTTAAAACTATTTAGGTTTTTCAAAGTAATTTTGATTTCTATATTTTTATTTGTATATAATTTTAAATATATTTATGAGGTAATTATGACATCACAGTTGAACCATAGACCCTTGACACAATCTCTTGTGTAGTTTGTTCAATAGTTTGGGTTTCAAGACATTGATACCAGATTTAGAATCCATAGTAGCACTTGTGCCTATCACACAGTAGAATAACCACAATTCTCCACTACCAACACACTAATAACCTTCCATAACCAACAACAACCAATAATATTTCACTAGAAAGTACACCAGTCTACACTCAACCTTGATTAATAAAAAATAAAAAATAAAAAAAAGAAAAAGAAAAACTAAACCCACAGTAAAACAATACTCTCACAACTATTTTTCTCAAATCACGAATCGAATCGTGAATCATTTGGCATAGAGAATCATGAATGGTATTGAATAGTGAATTGTAAGATTCACTTTATTTAGCATAACATACAATTTTTTATATGTATATATACATAAAAAAAATACACATAATGTTCAAAATGTAATAATTACCAACATAGCTAAGTTGTATATATATGTAACTATATCGTATCAATACAACTAAATTGTATAGATGTATATACAACTAAATTGTATAGATGTATATACAAATAAAAGCACATATATCAATATAATTAATTGATCTTTTATTTTTTTTGTAAAAACGATGCTATTTCATGCATTATGCGAACAAAACTAAATCATAGTAAATTGTAGTGAATCATAGTGAATCGCAATTGAATTGTACGGTTCTCTCAGTTTATGATTCAATAACATGAATGAAATAATTTTGATTGAAACTCGTATCAAATCGTATGAATTGAATTGTGAATCGTAAAATTCTAACAACCATGACTATATATGCAAAAAGCCATTAGGGAATAATCACAGGGAATTACTTTATTTATTTATTTTTGGCAAAAGTAGTTCGATGCTTAACTATGAAGCATGGATACCTCCTCGGAGGTGACGTAAAGGTGTCTGACACTTGTTGGATACGGACATGTGTCGGACACGCTACAAACACGTTGGGACGTGTTGTGGACTTTCTCTTTATACATTAAATTATCTACAACAGGGAATTACTTTATTTATTTATTTTTGGCAAAAGTAGTTCGATGCTTAACTATGAAGCATGGATACCTCCTCGGAGGTGACGTAAAGGTGTCTGACACTTGTTGGATACGGACATGTGTCGGACACGCTACAAACACGTTGGGACGTGTTGTGGACATGTTGACCATTTTTTTCAAAATTTTAATTTTTTTTACTAAAATAACATACTTAAGGTTAATAAACTTGATAAATTAAATATTTGACATAAAATAAATATTTAATATTTAAAAATATGATATATAATAAATATATAAAATTATATGTTCTATACGTGTCTCCAACATGTCGTGTCCTGCATTTTTTGCAAATTTGCATGTTCGCGTGTTTGTGTCGTGTCACGTGTCCATGTTTGTGCTTCTTAGATGCTTAACTAGATGAACCTGGGTATCTGGGTTGGGCTTGCATCTAGATGATGGTGCAGGGATATGACAAATCTGAGTTGCATGATGGTGTGATGATGAATCTGGGTTGATGGGTGATGAATTTGGGTGAACAGTTCATGAATTGGTGTTTGGTTGATGACTTGTGGATTTGAATCTGTATTGATCGTCAAATTTGGATGATGGGTCTAGTTTGACAATTGTTGATGATGAACTCGAGTCAAATTTGTGTGATAATAGGTGATTGTTGATCTATATGGTCAGGAAGGCTACATCGACAATGATGCCGATGAACAGGAGACTTCATTGTTTTGTTTTTGTTTGTCGTTTTTTGTTTGGGTTTGATTAAAAGAAAATTACTTTTCCACGATTTCAGACTATAGAGGCTTTGATACCATGTTAAAGTAGAGAGAGAAAAGAGATTAAAAGAATGAGAGAGCTTAAATACCCTCAACATGGTGCATAAGGCTTGTTGAGGAATCCATGATGTGATCATGTGGCACAACCATGCCACGTATTAGGGGTGGACCCATACACCCATAGCTTGAATCAAAAACTTCTCTGAAAACATGTTCAGTTCTGTATGAAGGAAATTCATTTTTGAAATGTAAGACTTTACCAAGTCAAAAGTAAGTGTTCTCAACTTGGTTAATTTTTGTGCTGTGTGCTTCCAGCATGAATCAGAAGCTTCTCTGAAACATGTTCAGTTCTCTATGAAGGAAATTCAAATTAGAAATGTAAGACTTTACCAAATCAAAATTAAGTGTTCTCAACTTGGTTAATTTTTGTGCTTCATGCTTTCAAGCAGTTGTTACAATATGCATTTGTGTTTGCCTCGCTATAAAAGTTTCGGTTTTGTGTTGAATAATGGTATCCTAATTTAAAAATATTTGAGACTCTGTAATCTGCTCTATTTGATATGCTAACTGCATGGAATTCTATAGGTATCCGTCTCCAAGGCCCGTGCAATAATCGTCCTTGCTGAAGATGGAAATGCTGACCAGGTTACCTTAATGAAGAAACTGATATATGTCATGTGCTTGATTTTATATGGTGGTTGATAACCTTTAACTGCTTTTGACACAGAGTGATGCTCGTGCACTTAGGACAGTTTTAAGCCTAACTGGAGTGAAAGAAGGACTTCGGGGACACATAGTGGTGGAACTAAGCGATCTTGACAATGAGGTCCTTGTTAAACTCGTTGGTGGAGATCTTGTTGAAACTGTTGTAGCACATGATGTAATTGGTCGCCTGATGATTCAATGTGCTCGTCAGCCAGGCCTTGCGCAGGTCAATTTAGTTACCCTAATTGCAGTTACTCAAAAGAGTATCAATAGAATCTGTCAATGTATATACCATTAATTTCTTCAGATAAATATTGTTTACTAATCTGTATCTTTGTTGTATGCGAGTAAGTCCAGATCTCAGATTCTTCTTGACTATTCATCTGACATGTTGTTAATGCTTCTTCCTTGTCAACTGGGCCATGGCAGATCTGGGAAGATATCCTTGGGTTTGAAAATTGTGAGTTCTATATCAAAAGATGGCCACAGTTGGATGGAATGCAATTTGAGGATGCATTGATCAGCTTCCCTGATGCTATTCCTTGTGGAATCAAGGCTGCATCCTATGGTGGAAAAATTATTCTGAATCCTGATGACTCCTATGTTCTACAAGAAGCCGATGAAGTTCTTGTTATAGCAGAAGACGATGATACTTATAGCCCAACGACATTGCCAACGGTGCTTTCCTTGTCTTACAACATAAAATTTTCAAGTAGATTGCTAGATAGTTTTTACATTGTTTCCCATTAACCATCTAGAGCAAAAGAGATAATTGCCTTATTTGGGATTTGATCTTATGCCAAATTGAGTTTTATTCGGGTATATTAATTGCAAAACTGAAAGCGTGTATGTAAAGAGACTGAAGAAATTGATGAATGAAAGCGTGAATGGCTGGACTTAATCTTCAATATTAGATTTTGACTTTGACCAAGATATCATAAGAATACTTTGCATCTGCTTCATGTTGAAGCGATGATTTCATGCGTTGAGATTTTGGTTAGGCATTTTTATGTGCTTTTCCTTAATTCACTACCCATGCATAATCTTTAGATTGATTATTAATCTGTGTGCTTCAATTTTTAAAGTAGAAATAATTATCTTAATTGATTATCGTTTTATTTATACTAAAATATATGACTTCTATAGCTGTATCAAAGTTGTGTCTATTGTGCATGCTTCTTGTTCTAGAGCATCACATTGATGTGCCAACCCTGATCCTAGAACAAATTTTAACTGACCAAGAATCCTAAACATCAAGTTAACTCTATTATTTCAAGCGAATGTTCTTTAATTTTTCATATCATCGGTCTTGTGATTTCATGATGGTGCATATCGATTGATTCAATTGTCCGTTAGACTGCACGTCATTTATGTAACAGACCACCTCATGCTAGTAGTTCTGATACAGCTTTGCCCTAAACTGCCTTCCCTGTGTCGTTAACTTTTTCTTTTTCTTTTATTTTTCCTTTAAAAAGAAGGTGGGTGCCAAATGTCATAGAAGACTTATTTTTTGTGTCCATTATCTTGGGCTAAATCAACTTGCAAAAGAAAAGAGGAAACAAAATAAATATGTCACTGGTAGCCTGGCCACTCAACAAAGAAATGCTCATTTTCTTTGCGCACATTGAGATGATTCCTTCCATGGAATTTAAGTGAGTGGGGCGTGACATAAATAAAACTTACATAAGTATAATCAATTTGATCATTCAGGTCACTGAAGCACCATTCATGCATATTGCCCGGCCAGCAAGAAAGCCACAGAAGATTCTACTTTGTGGATGGAGGCGGGACATTGATGATATGATTGTGGTAAGTTCTATCTATCAAAGCCCCTGATTCTTTCTTTTCTTCACCTGAATGCTGCAGGTTTGGAGAGGAAATCTACCCAAAGACTTCATTGTTCCAAAGTCTGCAGAAAGGATACTTTTTTGTGGTTGGCGGCGTGATATGGAAGATATGATTATGGTAATGTAAAAAGGAATCAATGGCATGCTCCCTGGCTGGGGGCAGTTTTCAGTTTACACAATGTGGTGGTAGACACATCAGAAACATTGTTGTAAAGTTTTCTCTACATCACCACTATCCACTGTTGGTCTTGCCATCAAGTTCTCTATTTTCCAAAACCCTTCACTTCATACATCTGCCTTGGTGCTGCGATGTGCTGCAATAGAATGATTAAAATACTTCGTTCCAGCTTGAATATTTATTTTTCTTTGCTATTTTCTTTAGGTATTGGAGGCCTTTTTAGCACCTGGTTCTGAGTTGTGGATGTTCAATGATGTTCCTGAAAAGGAGAGGGAAAAGAAGCTTATTGATGGTGGTCTTGACATCAACCAGTTGGTGAATATATCACTTATTAACCGGGAAGGAAATGCTGTTATACGACGGCACCTGGAAAGTCTTCCATTAGAATCTTTTGATTCAGTAAGTAGCTTTAAATTTAGAAACTGACATCTTCAGTACTATAATATCAAATGCTGTCAATAAAAATGACAAGTCACGGAATTTCATGGACGGATTGGCACCACCAAGCTGGCCTGCCGAGGGAAAGAACAAATTTAATGGACGATTCCAAATTTAATGGATGATTCCTTTACGCAAAGAGAATTATTTTTCAAAAAAACATCATTTTGACTATCCAAAACCCAGTGGATTAGTTTTTTGGGGGGGAATTTACAAATCAGTACTCCAGAAATAATTACTGATTTATGAAAAAGTTTATGACTTTAATCATTGAAGTGTATAAAGTTTATCATAAATCTGTAATTATTTTGGAAGAATACCACTGATTTATTTTTTTTGAATCAGATTAACTTTCTCAGTCTCAGAGATCTTAGCTGCTATTTGTGGCATTCAGGAAGGGTATCTGTCTTCGTTCCTAAATTACGGATATAAATATAATGGACAATACTTTTACACCAAATTGAATTATTTTTTTTAAAAAACCATCATTTTGACTATCTAAAACCCAGTGGATGAGGTTTTATGTATTTATTTTATTTTGATTGAGATTATCTTTCTCAGTCTCAGAGATCTTAGCTGCTATTTGTGGGGTTCAGGAAGGGTATCTGTCTTCATTCCTAAATTACGCATACATTGATATTTTTCCCGATTTGTACAGATCTTAATTTTGGCTGATGAATCAGTGGAAGATTCAGCCATTCAAGCTGATTCCAGATCTCTTGCCACATTGCTACTGATTCGTGATATTCAGGTACTTCTTTGAAGGGTGAACTTCAATCTTACTCATGGAACTTGATTTTTGTCAATCAAAGACTACTTTTTCTTTGAAGGGTGAACTTCAATCTTACTCATGGAACTTGATTTTTGTCAATCAAAGACTACTTTTGTGTGGTTTACCTATTCAAATATCTGTCAACTTAATATTTAACAGGTTTGTAAGTACACATTTTCATGGTTTGGGCTGTTTAGAACCACAGTGAGATTGAAAATTGGATTAGTAGTCTGATGACAATCATGTTATTGTTTTTGCTTTTGATATTCAAAACCATGCATTCTAATGCTAGTAACTACTGCTAACAAGTTAAAGTGATGCAGAATGTGGCATGGAGATTTTATTTATTTTGTAATTTTATTTTTATGGTTATTTATTTTTATTGATAGTTTAATTAGGATCTTAATATATTTATTTTCTCATTTTTAGTGACTAATTTTCCAAGTAATGTTATGATTTAGTTTCCTATTTTAAATTAGGGTTTTAAGCATTACAAATATTAGGGCTATCTATTGTAATAGTTAGCTATAAATTATTGACATTGAGTACATGGTTGTGGCTGTTTTTTGAGATTAGGGTTTTGATGACCATTGTGATCTTCTCTCTTTCTTTCTTTCTTTTCTTTTTGATATTTTGATCTTTTCTTTGGATCAATTCTTCATACATACTGGTTTTGGAATCAATTAAATTGAACAGATTTCTTGATAGCTGTTCTGCTTCATAAAGTCTTAACAAGTTAATTCTCTTATGCACCTATTCTGACTTCTTTTTTTTTTTTTTCCTTTTCTTTTCTCTCTGGTATATAAACAGTTAGAATGTAAAATGGAGAAATTTAGGGTTATGGTTTGAGAGGAAGAGAGAGAGAAGAGAGAAAGAGACTGATAATAATATATGGTTTAGAGTTGTTGAATTATACTCTACACCAGCAAATATATTTATATAAAACCTAACATTACAAAATGACCAGAGTACCCTCAATGTAACTAAATAATTACATAAGAACATATAACTATTCTAACACGCCCTCTCAAGTTGGAGCATAAAGATCAAACATGCCTAGCTTGAAAGATAAGCGATGAAAAGAAGTCCGAGCTAAAGGTTTGGTGAGGATTGTGAGAACAATATTAGTGTAGTATATATTATGTGAATATTGTTTTCTATTTAGGGTTGGTTTAGGTTTATTCTTGTTTCCTATTTAGGATTAGGTCTAGAATTGCTATAACTTAGAAAATATGAGGAAGAAGAACTCCGAAAATATGAGGAAGAAGGAATATATTTCTGTTATATTCAAAACTTCTAATTTTACAAGACCAAATGACACTCCTTATATAGGAGATATTACAAACATCATTATAACCCATTATATGCCACTTACATATTATATATTACCACTATCTACCACTATCATATTATATACATGCCACTATCTACCACCAACACCACTATCATATTATATACATGCCACTATCTTATTATATGCATTAACACAAATTTCCAGCACTATATAAATCATATGTACATATTGTATGCAATATAGTTGAATATACAAGTTTATTCTAGACCTAATCCTAAATAGGAAATAAGAATAAACCTAAACCAATCCTAAATAGGAAACAATATTCACATAATATATACTATACTAATATTATTTTCACAAGGATTTCACCCAATTGATCTTCAGAACGAACATATGAAGTCACAAGTTGCTTGCGTAATAAAAGATCTCGAATGAAACGACAATCAACCTCGATATGTTTGGTACGCTCATGAAACATAGAATTATTAGCAATAAATATGGCAACCTGATTATCACAACACATACTCATAGGAATGGGAACAGAAATACCAAAATCCTATAGAAGAGAGTGAACCCATAACATCTCAGATTTAGTACGAGCCATGACACGATACTCGGCCTCGGCACTAGAACGAGTAACAACTGTCTGTTTCTTGCTACACCAAGTAACAAGATTACCCCAACAAAGGTATAATAGTCCGAGGTAGAACGTCAATCAGTCCTACTACCAGCCCAATCGGCATCACTGAAACCAGTGACAGACAACGAGGAAGACGGACGATAGAGCAAACCCTGACCTGGGGCACTTTTCAAGTACTGCAAGATACGACACATAGCATCAAAATGAGGTTGGCGAGGAGCATGCATAAATTGACTGACCACACCCACAACATAGGTAATATCCAAACGAGTGACAGTGAGATATATCAATTTTCCAACCAACCAACGATAACGACCAAGATCAGAAAACAAGGTCCCGGTTTCACCATCAAGTTTAACACATGAGTCCATGAGAGTATCACTAGGACGAGTGCCTAAAAGACCAGTTTCAGTGAGAAGATCAAGGACATACTTCCGTTGTAAGATAAACAAGCCCTGAGATGATTGAGCAACCTCAATCCCAAGAAAATACCGAAGATGACTCGAGTCCTTAGTGTGAAATTGTTGATCCAAATACGTCTTTAAATTAGCAATATTAGTGGAGTCGTTGCCAGAAATGATAATGTTATCCACATAGACAATAAGGATGATACTCCCAGTAGACAAATGGCGAACAAAAACAGAGTGATCAGAAGCAGAACGACGGAACCCATATGCAAGCACAACAACACTGAACCGATCAAACCATGCACGAGGGGACTACTTGAGACCATACAAGGCCTTCCATAACCGACAAATGAGATTCTTATGACCAGGAACAACATAGAGGTTGATCCATATAGACCTCCTCTTGGAGATAGCCATGAAGAAAGGCATTCTTGATATCAAGTTGATATAAGGGCCCTGATTGACTAATAGCAACCGAGTGGAGAATCCGAATAGAGTTAAGGCGAACCATAGGGGAGAAAGTCTCTAGGTAATCAACACCATAGGTTTGGGTGTAACCTTTGGTCACTAGGCGAGCCTTAAGGCGCTCAACAGTTCCATCAAGAAGATACTTGACAGTATAAATCCAACGAAAACCAACAATAGGTTTCCCGGAAGGCAAAGGTGTAAGTTCCCAAGTCTGATTCTGATGAAGAGCACTCATTTCCTCAACCATAGCATTCTTCCAACCCGATATGGACATAGCCTGCTGATAAGAACAGAGAATGAAAATACTAGACAAGCTACAAGCAAAGGAGTGAAATCCAGGAGAAAGACGATCATGCGAAACAAAATGAGCAACAGGATGTTAGGTGCAAGTACGTTTACTTTTGCGGACGACAATAGAAAGCTCATCAGAGGCCACATTTGCCACGCCCCGTATTTTATTACTTGGATAACATTGCCAATATTCATTAATTAAGTCCATTTACAAATAACATTTCATCCTTGGATGAAATGATAAATAATTAAATATGCGCATTCCCTCTCGTTATACAACAATGACATTTACATACAAATAAAATAAATACCTTGAGGCTTACAATAAACGAGAGGTCACTACTCTTTACAAAAAAATAGCACGCAACCCAAATAAAGAGTAGTAGTACAATCCATCACTACACTACACTACACTACACTTATGAAATGGTAAGATCCATTGTTTGATCTTCAAATCCGAAAAGCATTCCCTGTATACATGTATAGGTAGGGGGTGAGCAACCACTAGCTCACCAAACAATCTCATATTAAAACATTAGAAGATATGCAGGTACCAAAATACTCATACATATACGTGAAATCATATCATGTCAAAACAATATGATTTTATTACATAATCTCTTAAAACCAATTTATTTAATTAACTACAAGAAGTTAACTAAAATAAATAAATATGTTTCAATAGCAACAGGACATCTTTTTCAATTCATTCGATTATCTCATTATCAGTTGAATCAAATAATTAAACAATTCATCAAATCCATTTTATACAGTCTTATGAGATGAATGCATATGTCATGTCATGCTCAAAATTTTTTTCTCATCTTTTGAAAATCTTACACACAATGCCATTTTGAAGACACATTAATTCAACAATTTCAATAAAATTCCAAGATGGTAAATACGACTCAGGTAATCCCTAGGCTGGTGTCTGCAAGTAGACTATAAAAGTACTACCAATTTGTCATTTTTACCAGTATTAACTGGAAGGCTCGACACCTATAATCTGTCATTTTTACCAGTGTTAACTGGAAGGCTCGACACCTATCATCTACACCACCTTTCAAGACTTACCACCGTATTTACTCCAAAATCATTTAATGAAAACTTGTTTCCCAACATTCCTTTCTCAATGCAAAGCTTTCAAATCAAATTTCAAAGTTTATTATCAAATGAATTGATATGCCAATGCAATGATTAATAATACAATGTAATATTTTTTTCACTTTCAATATTTCCACACAATATTCCCATTGTGAACAAAATTCTCGTTTCTCATTTCAATATAATTTCTCAAGATGAATATAAATACTTTTATTCCAATTCATCCATGGGACAACAAAATTCTCACACTTAGAGTAATCTCCACCATTTAGTCACTTCAAAACTATATCAACATTTTGAACAACAATTTTCAAAACTTCAACAATTCTCATATTCCATGAAAATCATAATTTATATGTAAACAAATAAACAATTTTTCAAACATCATTTATTTTGGCCTACCAAATAAATATAACATCTTCAAAGATTGTCAACATCTTTCTTAAAAACCCTCAATTTCTAGGTTTTCTCACCAAAACCACTCATTTTCATTTATTGAAAGAAAGTCACCAAAAACATCTCTCTTCAATCCTCATAGTTCAAAACCCTCAATTTCTATTTTAAAAAGAACAAGAAAGTAAATCCACTTTCAAGAAAAATCTCTCATCTTCTTGAACCAACAATCAATTTTCAAAACAAATTAAAGGATGATTTCGAAAATCATCTAAATTTTGAAAAAAAAAAAACATATATATAAATTTGATGTTCAAAAGCAACATATTAGCATACTCCAACTATTAAAATCAAAAATCCATTTCTCAATTGTCTTGAC